TTTTTTTTTTGGGGGGGGGGAATCTTTTTGTCTGTTTTTGTGGCTTCAGTGGGGGCTTATATTATAAGAGCAAAATTATATGCCAGTCTTCTCATAACCGCTACACATTTTGCTTTAAAGGATAACGGCATCTTTAAAGAAAAGAACACATTATTGTAACCTGCCTTGAATACATATCAAAGTGAAAAACTCAGGAGTTATATCTTACAATACAAATACATTCAATTACCATATCTGCAGCTTGGCTGTATTCCATAAAAGACTGCAAAATTTCAGATTAACATGTTCACCTTTTATTAATGTTGTCAGAGAGCGCTCAAGATCACAGGTCATTGTGACTCCATTTTCTAGGATTGCCTTCACAGGTTTAAAACCGAGAACATTCTGTTTTTGGGTGAACCTCACTGTCGCACAAGCATACTTCTAAGTCCTGCAAATAATTTTGTTTATATGGTGGAAGTAGCTCCCGCTATACTTCTGGTCACACCATAGTTACATAGTCAGATTGGAAAAAAAAAGACACAAGTTCATTGAGTTTAACCTGTAGGGGAAAAAATGGAACCCCCCTCCCCCCTATGCTCAGTTACCCATGGTTGATTCAGAGGAAGGCAAAAAAAAAAAAAAATCTGTAAAGGCATGGTTCAGTTTGCTCCAACAGGGAAAAACAATTTCTTCCTGATCCCCTAAGACGATCAGATATTCCATGGATCTGTCCCTCAATTTACTCTGCTAGGTGCTGCAGATCATTGATAGAAGCATTCTTTGGTGTCAGAAATTTCAACAAAAGTAGGGAAATAAAGGCATCCTTCTCTTTGACCCTACTCTCCCTTAGACTTTACTAGCAGTTTGAACCTCCAGTGTGCCTGCTCCTTTCATGTACCTTCTTCTTATGATGTGCACCAGCAATTCAACTGTTAACTTTACTAAAAGAGGTACATAGTCCAATACGAGTCTGGTGCGTTTCTATAGTACACCCAATCCACTTCCTCCAGCTTTCTGGTCACCAATCAGGAAGGGGATGACTGGGAAGCAGACGTAAAAATGATAGATTGCCCAATTAATTTTTTGTTACTGGCACTTGCTTCTATTTGCATTTTACCGGTTGAGTGGTAAACCTAGTTCCACCCACCTAGAAGCTTTTTGGTGGACACGGTTACGTCTGTTTCCTTGCAGCGTGAAGCCGGCTTCCTAGCCAATCATTGAGGCGGGTCACGACCCACCGCCTGGCTTCCGTATTGGCCAGGAACCATGCACCCGGATCCATGCTCCCTCACGGTACTGCCAGTCAGAGGGAATCTCCCCCCTCTGACTGGCAGTTCCGATATCAAGTATCGGAGCATTTGGGCACCGATACCAGTACTGGTATCTGTGCATCCCTAATTTAAACAATCTTCTGGTTTTCTAAGCACATATTATGCATACATGATGAGGTTCCAGAAACACATCCATAAATTATTTTAGCATGCCTTATTAAAAAGAAAACAAATAATGGTTGCAGGTACCAGCATGGAATACAGACACCAAAACATTTGTGTTGTCACTTCCAGATCAGTGGCATGCATGCCACTAAACTTTATTTCTTCTAGTGAAATTGGGTGTTAGGCGTTTGCCTACTCCAAAAATCTTTTTTTTTGTCAAACAACAACCCTAAAATGCCATACCTTTTTAGTGTTGTGTGTTTTTTTTTTTTAAATATTCTCTAGAGATGGATGGGAAAAAAGTAAAGGAAAAATCGTGAACTTTTGAAACCATATTTGAGTACATACTGTATGTAGCCGTTTAGTGCTCTAACTAAATGCTTGTCTCCACACTGTACACTCTACAATACTTAACAATGTTCAGTTCATCTCTGGTATGTATTACCAGATACTATCATAGATTGCAAGCTATGATAGAGATCAAGCTATGATGTCTGCATACAGGCTGTGCATGGTGTGAGTTCTGCTGATCGTTCACATTTATTGTCCGCAGTATTAGTTCTGCCATTACTCCTATTGTAGCTTTACTGCAGTGCTGTAGTTGGGTTTATGATGGGTGTTATATTTGTCATTCTTGCTGTTTGCTACTTGATTAGTTCTACAAAATCTATTTACCATGCCCCAAGGTTTGTAGAGCCAACAACACAGCATATCAAAATGCTATGAAAAGAAAGTAACTGCTTTTATAATGCCTGACAACCTTTTACCATTGTATTCATATTTAGTTGTAAATTGGTGCCCCCATCCACTTCTGTAGCAAAATTATTTTTAAACAATAAAGATAATAATGCCTAGAAAAAAAACAGACATTGAAAATGTTAGTGTCTTTTTAAACTAGTGGTCTGTGGACTAATGCATCGTTAAATCGGTGGTCAGCGGAGGAATCCCCCCTGCTTCGATGGTTAGTATAAGTGGAAGATGAATCAATTACTGCACAAGGAACTCCTAGCAACCTTTCAAGGATCCTTAAAGTTTACCCAATCCTGCATAATACAGATAAAAGTAAAGATTTTTTTTAATAATAATTGTTTAAAGCTGAACCCTAGACAGATATAATAAAAATTAATCCAGCTCTGTAGTCATTTTTACATCATTAAATGTACAGTATTTTGTAAGTGTAAGTACCTGATTTTGACCTTTTGTCAGACTGTTGCAGCACCTGTACAGCACAGCTGTGTGCAAGAGGAAGAAGCAGTACAAGGAGCCAATCAGCCTTGTGCTGACAAGAAGCATGCCGGTAGGAAGGGAAAGCAGAGTAACAGAGATTATCTTATCACTGTGCTGCTTCTCCTTTCACTATCCAGTCACAGGCTGGGGTGGGTCCTTGTAGAAGAAGTATTGGGAGAGTAAAATGTACTCTTCGCAATACTTTGAGCCGGCATGTGACACTGCAGTAGAACAAGAACTGAGCGATCATGAAGAGCTGATCTCTTTGTTCACTGTCTTCTCTCTGCAGAGAGCAATGACTGTCAGTCATCACTCCGCGGGGATTTCACCACCACCTTGCGCTCTCTGTTCCTCCAGCACTCCTCGGAGTGACAGACGGGCGGGGGTGGGCCCAGCTGGCTTTGCCTCTCTAATCAAGTAGAGGGGTAGCCCAGCCCGCTATATACTGAGTTTGGGTTACCAATGTATTCCTGTGACCCAAGAGAACTAAAGCTTAAAAAACGTTTGGCTTTAGTTCTTTTAATGCTACACCCAGTCTGATTGGCAGTATCTTTTGGCGGGAAGCAAGTACCATGGAGGAGAGCTTTGGTTTGAAAGTGAATATTACAACAAAAGCTGCATCTTTTGCCTTTTTAAATGGGCTAATAAATTCATCTTTCTATTTATGGCTGGAGTTCTGCTTTAATATATTTATTTTACCTGGAAGTGGTTATATATTTTTTTTTTCCCCTCCATTAAAATGGAACTTCATTATGCTAACAGGATTGGTTCTCCTTTTGTCTTTGTGCTCAGTTATAATATGCCACAACTTTCAATAAATACTCGTCGGCAAAGCTGCTTTTTATATTTGTGATGGTAGTTGTTACATTCACAAACTGCCTTCTGGGCACCTGTTGAAAATTGGAGGAACGGTAAGCAACTGTTTCCATCAGCAATCATATGCAACACTTATTAGTGCAACTGAGAAATTGAAGTAGAAATCTGGCATAAGCAACACAGAGTTAGTGCTTAAGGCCTCATTCACACACAACGCAAGCAAAATTGTATATTGCGTATATATGAGCGTCTATACGTGCACTATATGCAATCCCAGATTGCATCGCTCGTAATGGAATTTTTAATGTGATGTACGCGTGTATATGCGAGTAAACACGCGCATATGCACGTAAATACGCAGAAATGCCCTGCTTGGACGCATCTCTGTTCCATGCTGTTTTTGTGCATATATGCGCTACGCAAATATACAGCTCCATACGCAGCTGTGTGTATGGAGCCATTTATTTGCATATGGTACAATATGCGCGGCAGTGTGAATGAGGCCTTACACCTGCCTTGTAAATGGAGCTCAGTGTTTTGTTTGTTCACCTTTTGGTATAGGAAGTGTAACAACTGCTAGGTCCCTGTCTTACCTTCCATTAGAAGCTTGGATATTTCATCGTCACGTGTGTGTGTGTGTGTGTGTGTGTGTGTCAAGATTTATCTCCAGGCAGTTTAGTTTTGAATAGAGGTGGGGAAGATTTACTCCCTCTGCCTGTGTCCACATTGGAGAGATTTACTTCTGTAAGTGACCAAGAAAGAAGGTGAGGGAAAAGCCAAAATGTCCGAGTTGTGCCCAAAACTTGCGGAAATCTTCCAATGTATACACCTGTTCTGGGAACAACTGCCATAGTTTGGAATTCCCTTGACTTTGGGAGGTTTTATCTAACTTCATGTGCAACGATGGTACATAGACTAGTCTAGGGTCAAAACCCCTGCTAGGTTATTTGCTGTCATTAGAGAAAAAACATTTTGGCTGATTTTGTTTTTCTTCAGGGCCCACAGGTGTTGGATATCCTCTTGTTACTAGTGTTCTGCTTTGTTTGTTTTCTTTGTGAATAAATGCAGCTATGTAACAGATAGCTTGAATAGTAATCACTACATATACTCATCCACAAGAATTAAAAAAAAAAACCGGCATGTACTCATCCACCTGAACAGTAATCTCTACAGATACTTATGCAACAGAAAAATGATCGCTGTAAAGTCCTTTTGATGAAACCTGTGTTTTCTCCAACAGATAAAGAAGCAGCAGCAGGACGTGTTGCAGTATCTGGAATCCCACAATATTGACTGTGAAGTAGTGGATATTACCATGTCAGAAGAAAAGAGGCAATGGATGTACAAAAATATCCCCAAAAACAAATGGCCTGAGCATGGCAATCCTTTAGCACCACAGATATTTTATGATGATGCCTATTGTGGGGTGAGTATGCCTGCACATTTCATTTCACCTGTTTTTATATTGTATCCAGGCTAGATAAAGAAAATACTATCCAATAAGCCATGTAATAACGTATCTAATAGTCTATAGCAGCCTTTCTCAACAAGTTTCAATGCCTCCCTCGGGTACCTTGGAATTTTCCTCATCGTCATTCCATGCTGCAGACAGGCTTCTGATGTGAAGGTGGAAATGTAAAGTGAAAGGAAGGGGCTGTGATGTAAAAGGAGGGCTTGGGTGTAAAAAAAAAAAAGGACTCTGATGTCAAAATAGTCCTCCTGATGTGAAGGGGGGAGTCGCCTTATGTGAACAGGGCTCCTAGTGTGAGCGGTAGGACTTTGATGTGAAGGGGGGCTCTGATGTAAGGGTTTTTTAAAATATTTATGTATGGGGTCCCCTCTGAAATCCATACCAGACCCATATCTGGGATAAGGTCTGGTTTGATTTTTGGAGGGAACATATTTTTTTTACATTTTAGACTGGGGTGTCTAAACATTTTTGCTTGCTTTTACACTTCTTTTTTTACTTTTAATGGCTGCCATGACAAAAAAAAAAGGTTAAGGGGGTCCATAGTAATAACTGTTTATATTAACCGCTTCAGGACGGGCGACCACATATAAACGTCCAGCTGCCCAATCGATTATACTGTGTGGCAGAATGTGTGCCCCCCCCCCTTGCCGTTACCCTGGGCTCTGCTGTCACCCTGCGCGCCTGGAACTAACCCGCGCGGGTCTTCCCTCATCGATCAGAGGGAGATCAGCAAGCTTCCAGCCGCTGATCTCTCCTTCGATCACTGGACCTGGAAGTGATGTGTATTCCATCACTTCCGGTGCCACTGTGCATTTTTTCTGGCTCTTGTAACCAGAAGAAGAAGCTGATGAAGCAGATTGCTGCTTTATCGGCTTCGTTGGGGTCCGTAAGTGCCATTAGGGGTCTAAAAGACCCCTGATGTCTCCATAAAGAAAACCTGTCACATTTTCTGAGAGCAGAGGCCATGTAGAATAAAAAAATGCTAGTTTTTTTTTATTTTTATGTGGTATTTGCGCAAATGTTTATCAAGCCAGAATTCTTTTGGATAAAATACACTACCAATTTTTTTTACACTCAACATTATTGCCATCATTTAGCCCCTTATGTACGGGCTAGTACATAGGGGGCTAAATGATGGCAATAAAGTTGAGTGTAAAAAAAATTGGTAGTGTATTTTATCCAAAAGAATTCTGACTTGATAAACATTTGCGCAAATACCACACAACATAAAAATTGCAACTAGCATTTTTTTATTCTACAGCATTTTCTGCTCTCAGAAAATATATAATTGTTGGGGGTTTTAAGCTGTTTTCTAGCCGGAAATTCTGATTTTTATTATGTGTGTGCAAGTATTAAGAAATTGCTCCGGACAGCAAGTGGTTAATGTTACTATAACAATATTTATAAGGCTTATATGCAAATGCAGAATTCATTCACATCTGTTTTTTATTGTGCTGACTGCTCTGTACTGATAAAGGCTGAGCTATGACTGGGAGCTATAGGTAACCACACCACTTTTAACTGCCCTGTGTAATTCAAGGTTAAAATTTACTTTTATTTACTCATGAAATAGCCAAAACACTAAAGCAAAGGGTGACATGGTTAATATTTAGGAACTCTGTAAATATATTTGCATGCCTGTAACAACAAAGAAGGATAATAGATAAAAAATGTTGGCTTATTTTACATAGCTGCATCACATCGGCTAAGGAGTATCAAACACCACTTAAGTAAAATTTAAAAAAACATAATTGTATTGGGTTTATGTTTTAATCCCTTTTTAAAGACCCTGCAAGTGCAGAAAAATACCTGTTGCTGTGCCAGAAATGCACTCACTCCTTGTTGTATGCTGACAACATAGTCCTGCCTGTTTGCCTATTGCAAAACTACTAAATTCCTTCCACTGTCCTCATCTCCACAACATAGGGGCTAATTACTCTATAGTCAAAGATAAGAACTAGGGGGGATAATTTGATAAGTGCACTGGATACAGGACCACTCTGAATTTCTGACAAGATAAACAAGCATTGTATAACAGATCTAACCAAACACTTTCAATAGTATATTTATCAGACCATAAAATAAGCAAAGAGAAGTTTAATTTACATGTACTCTGTGAATGATATTGGGGTTATTTATTTGCAGAACTTGTGTAGCACCAACATACAGTTTTTATAGCGTTCTCTGGAGGAGTTCACAGTGTCCCTACCACACATACTTATACCCACTAAAAGTATGTTTTTGGATATTGGGATATAGCAAGAGAAACCGCAACAGCCGAACACGAGAGAACTTAAAATATCACCTCTGTTAGGGTCCCAGGTTGGAATTGAACCCAATGCTGACGGACTGAAGTGCTTGCCACATTACTGCTGTGTTGCCCCAAATGTACCTAACCCATTTACATTAAATGTGTTGATGTATAGCATATACACGCATACAGATTTCAAAAAGATTGTTTTTGTTGTTGTTTTCATATTGGCTCCTAGGTGTGTTCCTTATGTTTATGTGGTCTTCATTTATGGATTATACTGCACATTTTCCGAGGACAAATATAAGCAGTGGTGTTTCACAAGGAAAGTGCCAGAAATGTGTAACTGGCACCACAGTGCAGTTTCTGCAAAGTAAAAACTATAGGAAATGCTTTTGCTACAGATATCATGTCACATGATTCGTAAGAGGCCAGAAACGCAAACTTTGGATAAGTTGTGTGTGCAATGTGCACAGAACAGATAAGACAACACAGTGAGGTTGAGGAACGTGTTACTAATCCCAGTCAGTATTTCTTTCTGCATTCCTAGTTCATTGTTTATAGCTAATATTCATAGCTTGGTGCAGCCTGGGTGTATAATTTATAATGAATAAAGTTTATAGGGACAAAAGAAGTTCCAAAAAGAACCACACCTAAGCATTGCATAAGGAGGCACTGCCCAAAGATAGAATGCAGTCTATTCACTATCATTTCAACAGAAGAAGCTACAGCCACATGCTGCAAGGTCAAGTGAAAAAATCAAGACATGTATGTACATTGTAATCATTAGCACCCAGCATTGTATTAGAATGAAACAGAAGAATATTTGTATCTACTCTGCCAGTATATCTTAAGACGGAAACACATAACTGAATGAGAATACCAAAATAAGTGCTGTGCGCACCATTTCTGTAATTAAATCAGTCTTTATTCTTACCCGTATTTTTAGTAAAACATAAGTCGGGGTCACGTCGGGTAAATAGACACCAAACATGTCAAGCCTTAAAATTGCGTGCGCCCGCAAAATTGCAAAAAAAACGCCTATAGGAGACGATTAAAATGCTTTTACTGCTCATCAGTTTAGTGTTATCAGTGATTAATGGCTCTAAAATGATTGCTCTCATATGTAACGTGCGGCACAATAGGCGCAATCGTCGTTTTTGCACGTAGGCACACCCAACGCATATCTGCGTGTGTATGTGGGGGGCGGGAACTTTTAAAATGTTTTCTTTTTTAATTTTTTTTTATGATTCTTTAATTTTTGTATTACTTTTTTTTTTTTACACACCACTTTATTGCTATTACATGGGGGGCCAAGAAGCCCCCTGTGTGATAGCCAATTTACATGACAGGTCCTCTTAATGGAGACATCAGGGGTCTCCAAGACCCCTAATGTCACCTAGAGACCCCCAGAGAAGCTGATGAAGCAGAGATCTGCTTCATCAGCTTCTGTAGCTGGAGAGTGACACTGAATGCAGGAAGTGATGTAATATACATCACTTCCTGCATTCGGGGACTGAGAGGAGATCAAAGGGAGTT